ACATGTATTTCATGAGAGGGAGAGGAGGGACAGGGACCTGCCTTTGAGAAACAAACCAAAAAAGCAAGGCTCAAAGACCTTGAAACCATTAAGAGGCGCTCACGCTCCAGCAGGAAGGGGGCCTGGGCCAGGCTGGTTTCAGGTTCCTCCTTGCTACATAGATAAATGGCCAAAGGAAACATTATCTAAGCAGTTTCACATCAAAGGCTACATGGCAAGCTGATCTTCCTTTTAATCTGGCCAATAACCAAGTGAGAATGAGACAATGTACGTGTTTAGGAAGAAGGCTCATGCGGTTCTGGAGTGGACTTTCCCATGCTCTCATTCCCAGCCGTCTCCACCGAGGAGCTGTTGTTGTGTAAGACATTCGGGGCGGCCCCGGCAGCCTGCGGGCCTCGTAATCACCCCACGCGGTGTCTGAACAATGTGTTGACTACACAGGACTGAAACTTGGGGAACGGTCGGAACTGCATGCGTTCCCCCTTGCTCCTAGCTGGCTTGCCTCCAGGCAGGGAGTCTTATCCTGGAGAGTCAGGGTCTATAGGATGGCCTCAAAGCTGGGTGAGAAATGGCAAATTCTGGTGTCCTACGGACTGATCGGCAAAGCAACAGTCACTTTGTTAAGACTTTTTGTAGCTTAGAGTCGTGTGCGTGGCATGATGTCTCTGAGCAACTGAAGAAACAGATGGTCCGTGATGTTGAACTGCCCGCACCGCACTGTGAGATAGGCAGGGCAGGGATGATCACCTCCATCCCACCGGGAGGTGGAGGCCCAGCGAAGTGAAGGGACTTACCCAGAGACACACAGCTCGTAAAGGCACCGGAGGGAGAAGTGCTGATCACTCCTCCGACCCTCTGAGGCAATGTGCTTTTCACTCTTGCCACATTGCGGAGTCAGCTGCTTCTCTGCGAGCCAAGCTGTCACTCTGGATTACCAACACGAGGACGTGGGAAAAGGTCTACCTGACTCTTTCATAAACTGGATGGATGTGCCTGGCGAGGAGTTACAGTGAGAGAGCAAAGCAGCGGGCCTTCAGCTGTGAGCTTCACAAGGGTCGGGCCTGTGCCCAGCTTGCCTTGTGCTCCCGCGTTGTGCCAGCTGCTGGCATCATAAACATTTGATGAGGGAAGGAAGGGAAGAGAAGGGGGTGTAGAAGAGGTGGGTGGTGTCTCAGGGCCACCGGTCTGCAGTGCTCTTCCCTGACCAGGTGACAGTGACCACCGGGAACAGCGATAGGACTTTGTGGAATGTGTGTCTTCCAGCCTCATCTTGGTTGCATTTGTTTCCCACCTTTGTTTCCTTTTCTTCATCTTTTTTTTTTTTTGTCCTGTTTTTAATTCACGTGCTGTCGTCGTTGTTGTTTCTATCATTCTTGTTATATTTTAAGCATTGTGATTGGCTTCAAATATTTCGGGGATATTAGTCAACCAAAGAAGCCACAAAAAACAAAACAAAACAAAAAAAACAAAACCAACCTAGAAAAACTAAGAAGTGACTATATAAATGCAGGTAATTGGCAATGAGCATTTCCGTTCTGCCCGCAGCTGCAACCCTGCCCCACCAGCAGAGGATGCAGCCAGTACTAAAACTGCTTGGAGGTTTTCCCTGAGAGTCCTGCTATCCCTCCTCCCTGCGCCTTCCCCAATGCTACCCACATTTGTTTGTTTGTTTGTTTGTTTGTTTGTTTTCATTGCCAGTATAATTTATTAATAGCAGCTGAAGAGATCTGTTGCTTTTTACATTTTTATTGAAGTTCAATTTGCCAACATATAGCATAACACCCAGTGCTCATCCCACCAAGTGCCCCCCTCAGTGCCCATCACCCAGTCACCCCAACCCCCCGCCCACCTCCCTTTCCACTACCCCTCAGTAGTGGTGTTTCTCAGTTAGGTGTTTCTCATGTTTGTCACCCTCACTGATATTTTCACTCATTTTTTCTCCTTTCCCTTTTTTCCCTTTAACTAATTTTTATATTCCTCAAATGAATGAGACCATATAATGTTTGTCCTTTTCCGATTGACTTACTTCACTCAGCATAATACCCTCCAGTTCCATCCATGTCGAAGCAAATGGTGGGTATCTGTCGTTTCTAATGGCTGAGTAATATTCCATTGTATACATAAACCACATCTTCTTTATCCATTCATCTTTCGATGGGCACCGAGGCTCCTTCCACAGTTTGGCTATTGTGGACATTGCTGCTATAAACATCGGGGTGCAGGTGTCCCGGCGTTTCACTGCATCTGTATCTTTGGGGTAAATCCCCAGCAGTGCAATTGCTGGGTCGTAGGGCAGGTCTATTTTTAAGTCTTTGAGGAACCTCCACACAGTTTTCCAGAGTGGCTGCACCAGTTCACATTCCCACCAACAGTGCAAGAGGGTTCCCCTTTCTCCGCATCCTCTCCAACATTTGTTGTTTTCTGTCTTGTTAATTTTCCCCATTCTCACTGGTGTGAGGTGGTATCTCATTGTGGTTTGATGCTTATTCCGAGGCCAGCTTCCTCCTCTTGACCTCCGCCAGCTGATATAGCTTGAGTTTCTTCTAACCTAAGGTGGCGTTTATTGACTGGGGGCTCATGTCCTCTTTCCATGGGGCCCTGGGGTGGGCAAGAGCACGGAGCAGGATAGGTGAGAGTAGGGCAGGTCACATGAAGTCACTGGCCTGCGCTGGGGCCCAGGAGAGGCAGGAGCTGTACCGGCTGATGCTGAGCATGGTGGGGAGCTCCAGGGAAGGCCTCCTAGCTCGTGGCATGAAGCACACACATGGCAGTAGCCACTTATTACCTCTCTCAATTCACAGCCACCACCCGACTCTACTTTGTAAAGGAAGAGATAAATTCAAAACCCCCCAGTGCAGGGCTCCTAAACCATCCCCATCCTCTCAACCTCTTGGCTGCCTGCCCTCTTCTTAAGCCCTCTTCCCTGGGTTTCTAGAGTGTACACCTAACATGATTTCCTCCCAGGTCTCTGCCTACTGCTTCCATTTGTCTCGCTCGGCCTCCTCCTTGGCCGGGTTTTGTTTTTATTCTTGCGTTCTCTGTACATAGAGCCATCACTCTCATGGTCATGTCACAGTCCAGTCACTCGAGCCAGGTTCTAATCTCTTATCTCCAACTGCCTGCAGGTCTGTCTGGATATTCCTTCATCAATCCCACAATTGTTCGTTCAAAGTCCAAGGTCAAGATCTCTTCCCAAAACCTCTTTACATGTGTTCGACTTCTTGGGCAGTGGCACTGCCATTTCCTTCTCAGGCTTAAAGACATACTCATTCACTTTTCATCCTTTCAAATTCATTCACTGAGTTCTGGTGACTTCCCCACGGATTTTATTCCTTCCTCTCCATCCCATGACTGAGTCAGGACCACACCAAACTCATCCTGCAATCGGGTCTGCTTCTCCTGCCATCCACATCCATACCACTCCTGAACAGTATGCTTTTAACACTTGTCATTCTCTGGCCCCAAAAGCATCATGGACCCCCCATTTTTCATTAGAGTACCATGAAGCTCTGACTGACCCCCAGGGGACAATCGGAACAACTGCGGGCACATGGTGCCTGCCCCATCTCATGATCACATGAGCATGCCTCACCTCACCTCTGCATCTCTGCACAATACTGTTTCACAAGAGCGCCTTCTTCCTGCTACCTTGCCTGTTAGAATTACAATTCTTCCTCAAGCTCAGTTCAAAACCCACATCTTCTGCCAGCTTCTTGGATTGTCCTCTTTTCTTGGGCATCTTCCTGTTTTACCACACAGTACAGTCGTATTTACTGTTTCTCTCGGTTCCTTAGTCCCTACATTATAATATTCTTGTCCTTTATTATCTAAAAGGTCATGAAATAGCATGAGATCATCAATATGAAGGCACTGAGGGTGTTTTGGAGGAAAAGGTATAGTGGGAATCTCAGGGGTTACAGTAAAAAAAAAAAAAAAGACCGTGAATATATAGGGCTGATGGCAAATGATCAATGTCTCCGTGTTAGTTTCATCAGTGACATTTGTAACACGGTCTTCTTTTGCCTTTTTGTTGGTACCATAAAGGGATGAGGTTTGAGGAATTTTATGCTTTGAAGAACCATCAAATTTTATCTTATTCTGGATTCCTGTTATTTATAAATTCTACAATGCCACCTTCCAGATGACCTTTCAATGATTCCTCTACGCCCATCCCATTCTTGTTTTCTTCCTGGGGACCCAAGATAACGGACATGGGGTAGATCCACGGGGAGCCCACATCGTCTATCTCAGAGTATATCCCAGCGCCCTGGGCACCACGTGCCCCAGCCTCAGTTTGTTCATCTGAGGGACAAGATATCAGCGGTCAGAGCAGCACATGTCTCCCCAAGTCTTATTCCCTTTGTGGCCAACTAACTCATCAGTTTTTGTTTTGTCTCACTGGACCAGGCCTTGGGTGGAGATTCTAAGGATTGGAAGGAGGGGACATGCAGGTCTGGAGAGTGGAAACCACTCCCCAAAAGCTCTACTCTGAGAACATGGAGAAAGCAAACAAGCTCTGGTTGGTAATACAGCTGCAAAAATAGCGCAGCAGGTTGTCAGCTTTTGACTTCATCTCACCACGGTAAATAAAAAGAAAGCTACTGCCAAGTGCCATCAGCAATGCGAGCTCTGCCGTGTAGCCCACGACTCTCAGGACTAGGCCCTAAACACTACTTTATGTTTTAGCTTTCACAGAGGCTGTTTTGAATGAAAACAGTCATCTCATAGATCTCATACCTGATTGCACTTGTTTGCCACACAAAACTGTATGTATAGACAGATCTTAAATAGTGTCAGAAAACAAGGGCCTTGTTTACTCTGCTGCATTCTGGTAAAATACACTCTCGCAGACTTCTGCTCAGTAACCAGAGAAAACAACACAGCTGAAAAACCCAGCAGCTGAGAGAAGGACCCAAGTGTACTCAGTACGACACAAAGATTTATAAACACAACCACATAATCCCAAGGAGTACACAATATAAATGCTTTATTGCTAGCACAGAGGTTTCTTTTTAAGTAAATTAAAAGAAATAAATCTTCATTTTCACATTCTATATTGCAGTCGAAAAGGTAACTAGCTGGTTAATGGGTATGTTCACTTGGACACAGGCTATAGGAGGAGAGCATGACATTCACATGGAAGGATTCAGAAGCATGGCATCTCTCGAGGCATCGGGCCACTGAATGCACTGTCGTTTGTAGAGAACAGCAAATGGAGCTTCCTTTTAAACATCATGAATAGACGAGACTTATAAATAGAAAACTGGTCTGGTGAGAAAGCAGAAACCCATTACATACAGAAGGCTACCTACGTGCGGTCCATATTCCGTGTACTCTAGGTTATGTTTGGTACTTTTAAATAAATGATCTTCATCTAGGTTACAGACTGGATTGGGTTCAGCAACCGGGAAAAGGGAAGGAGAGGAAGGCGACACTGTCAACAGGTGGATGAGCTGGAGAGTGGAAGAGGAAGTGCGTAGCTGGGGGAGGGGGAGAGGGACTGCTTTGCCAGGAGGGAAAAGCACGCGTGGACGAGGCACAGGGCGTGACGGCTGAGCTCTGGTGGAGCGTGGTCATCGTGGCACGCTGCAGCTCTGCAAATGGAAACGGGAACCTCCGGGCTTGGCCGGATTTTCCAAGGTTACTGCCAGTGGATTTAGGGCACCATAGGCCGGAGTGACACCCAGAGCACTGGGAGTAGCGGTGTAGGTGCAGGGGGGCGGGAGGGAGAGCAGGGGGCAGAAGCAGCCAGTGGAGTCCCTCCGCAGAGACAATTCACTTCATGAGAACTGTCAGCTAGTATTGAAAAAGAACTTATTTTTGCAAGGCCCCCAGCATTACCTTTTACCAAATTCTTGAGCCTCCCCGATTCGTTTTGGGGTTGATTGGTAAGAGAGGCTTTGGAAAAAGATCTTATCAATTTATGAAAAACAACCCGCCCCCCTGCCTTATTCCAGAATCACCCAGAAGGAAGTAAACACACACACACACACACACACCCTAAAACCCAAGAAGCAAGCTCAGAAGCCGTGAGCTGCACGTGACGATCTCTGGATCTCCATCTCCCTGATCTTTCACTCCTGTCTTGTACGGATGTGAGAAAGCCAGACTGGGTCAAGAGGCACCCCAAGGTCTCAGTTCTTGGTACATCTGTAGCGTACCAGCTCCTGGCAGTCTCAGTCTGGTCTGGCTCTAACTAAAACCATTTCATGTTTTGCTTTGAAGAAGTGGATAACATGAAATGGTAATTTGGCTGCAAAACCTTGGAAAATTGTTCCCGGCCCAAACATCTGCCCCAAATGAGCTCAGTTGAGAGATCTCCTTGGACGGGTGGGAGGAGTGGGTGAGTGGGGAGAGGCTGGAAGGGGATAAAGGGAGACAATGGAAAGACGACCTCTCCTCAGGAGGAAAGTTCCTTGGGATAAAAGGAACTGCCCATCACGACGGAAAGGGGGACTGGAGGTACCCGACAGTGACGCCTCCTGCCTCCGTCCCACTCTCCCCAATATTTGGTATCATGAAAGTGATCCCTTACAGAGTGCCAGGAAACCGTGCCCACACGGTCGGCTTTTGTTATGCGATGACGGCCTGGCCTACGTGTCGTTATTTAAATCTTTAAATAAGGACCGAGTATGGACTTTGGATTCCTGAGAGCCGGGCCCCCCAGGGAGAGCAGAGAGGGAGAGTCCTGCGGGCTGGCCTCCACCGTCCTCCTTGGCCTTCTTAGGAGTTCTTCTGGGGGATCTTTACTGTCACCGTCTTCACCTCGGAGTACTCTCGCAAGCCGAACTCCCCCCTGAAAGGCAGAAACAGGCAGGGTCAGGCACCAGGGCCCCGGCAGCCCGGCGTGGCCCTTCAGCACCTACCGGCAGCAGCCCTGGGGGTCCAGGGAGAAACATCTAACGAGTGGCCAGCCCAGCCCCCCTCTGAGGAGCAGAGAGCCATCATGTCACGAGCAGGGACCGGTTCTTTTTTTTTTTTTTTTACCAATTTATTATTATTATTTTTTAATATTTTTTAATTTATTCATGGTGGGGGGGGCAGAGACACAGGCAGGCAGAGGGAGAAACAGGCCCCATGCAGGAAGCCCGACACAGGACTCGATCCTGGGACTCCAGGATCACACCCTGGGCTGAAGGCAGGTGCTAAACTGCTGAGCCACCCAGGCTGCCCAGGATTTTTTTTTTTTAAAGGTTTTATTTATTTTTTCCTGAGAGAGAGAGAGAGGCAGAGACACAGGCAGAGGGAGAAGCAGGCTCCATGCAGGGAGCCCGATGTGGGACTTGATCCCTGGTCTCCAGGATCAGGCCCTGGGCTGAAGGCGGCGCTAAACCGCTGAGCCCCCCCCCCCCACCGGACTGCCCGCAGTGACCGGTTCTTAAAGGCAGAGGCTGATCTGTCTTCACAGCACTGCGCAGGAGGGTGCAGCATTCCCAACCACGCCACTGCGTCTCTACCGCGGGCAGCAAGGGCCCTCGAGGACGATGGGTGCTTTCCTCCTCTCAGACCCACTCCTGCCGCTGGGCGCCCCCCGGAGTGGCTGCATCCCAGTCTCTCCCCTAGACACCTAGTCCACCCGGGATGAAAGAAACAGAGATTTCCAGGCTGCGACGCCCCCTTTTTGTTGCTCTGGATTTCCTTTCACTGGTCCTTAGACTTAACAAATGGAAGTGAAGACCCAAAGGCCTAGCAGGGAAGAGCGCAGATCACCAGCAATGCCTTGAAAACAATCCTGCCATGTGCTGCCCGCAGGGCCCCCTGCACCCCCCCCCCAGTCGGGGGAAAGAGAGAAGAAATCAGAATAACTGACCATAAGGGAAGTAGTGAGCTGGGCGCCCCCAGACACTGGGTAATGGTTTCGAAGGTGGGAGCTGAGCCCCCTGTCTCCATGGGGCCCTCGGGACACTCCATGCCAGGTCTCTGAGCCCTGCCCTCGGGGTGCCGGGGTGGGGCCACGCCTCGTGCCACAGTGTCCTTCTCTTCCCCTCTGTCCTCTTCTCATTTCACATTTTCAGTGCCCTTTTCCGCTTTTCTTTATTTCATCGTAAAATCAATCACATTCTTCTCCTTTTTTCTTTTAAAAACTGAACTTTTTTCCTTTTTTTTAAAAAAAGATTTTATTTATGTATTCATGAGACAGAGAGAGGCAGAGACACGGGCAGAGGGGGAAGCAGGCTCCCTGCGGAGAGCCCGGTGTAGGACTCGACCCCAGGACCCCAGGATCACACCCTGAGCCGAAGGCAGACGCTCAACTGCTGAACCACCCAGGTAGGTGCCCCCGCCTCCATCCTTTTTAAAGTCAGTCCTCAGATGACTGGCTTTTCCTGGCTCTCTCAGTAGGAGGTGCTCCTCACCACGTTCACAGAGCACCTTGTGCGCACCCCTGCCACGGCCGGCCTCTATCTGCGGGAAGGGCTGCCCAAGCCTGTCTCCTCCCAGGGACTTGGGGTTTGCTGCCCCTGCTTTCTGCCCTCACCGAACCCAGTGGGCAGCCTGCAGCATCAAGCTCCAGTGGCACCCGTGGAAGGAAGGAAGAGAGGGGGGCGCTCCTTCCCACACCTCCCCATCCCCAGTTTTAGCCTGTTGATATAGCACCTCTGCCAGGAATGAACAGAAGAACACTTAGAGATATATCTGAACAAGAAAATATTAATAAGGGCTTTTTTTAAAAAAGAGTCACAGATGGGATGCCTGGGGGGGGGCAGTTGGTTAAGCGGCCAACTCTTGGTTTTAGGTAGGTTCCTGGTCTCAGGGTCGTGAGATGGAGACTCGGGTCGCTCTCTGTGCTCAGCATGGAGTCTGCTTGGGAATCTCTCCTCCTGTGCCCCTCCTCTGCTCTCTAAAAAAATAAATAAATCTTGGGCAGCCCGGGTGGCTCAGCGATTTGGCGTCACCTTCAGCCCAGCACGTGATCCTGGAGACCCGGGATTGAGTCCCACGTCGGGCTCCCTACATGGAGCCTGCTTCTCCCCCTGCCTGTGTCTCTGCCTCTCTCTCTCTCTCTCTCTCTCTCTCTCTCTCTGTGTCTCTCATGAATAAATAAGACCTTTAAAAAAAACTTTAAAAAAGGAGTCATGTATGAAAGATACTGTAACTGGTCTTTACAATCAAGACCTGCTGTAAATGATTCATTCTTCCTTCCAGAAACCCCCTGCCTTGCACAAGGCTCCAGTCACTTTGCCAGCAGCAGCAGCACCTCTGAGCACCGAGGTCACCTGAGTCGTTGCGCCTGTGCCCTCCCCACCAGGATAGGAGAGGCAGCTTCAGAGGGACCAGGGGACCTGTGCTCTTCTCTCATCTGTGACGACCACCGTTCTTGCTCACGGGAATGAGAATAAATATGGGATTGTCCCACTCAGTATCAGCTTCCCTCATGAGCTCCTTCCAGGCCCTGAGTCTTTATTACCAGCTCAGCTTTGGCTCTCTCGGGACTTCTTCCTGCCCTTGGGCAATTCTCAATGTGCCTCTTCATCATGGACATCATCTGCCTCCTGTTTGAAGTGAGGTCACTCCCTTCTTTTTTCCCAGCTTGTGCACGCACATGGGGCAGACCCCAAATCATTTCCTCCCACTCAGATCTCTAAGTCGGTTGTGAGAAGTGTAAGGAAGCCTTCAGAGTCAGAGTGTGGTGGCATGGTGGCTTTCAGGTGGGACGACAGGGTCCCCTAATCCCTGGGTGCAATGGGAAATCATCGAGGACTGGAGGAGCTCCTCCCCTGGGTCCCGGGCAGCCCTGTGCCACCACGGTGCTCCGAGGATGAGGAGTGGACTCAGGTCTGCCACAGAAACAACCCTGGGGCTGGGGGGCAACAGGCAGGAATGTCGGCTCAGCTCTGCCACTAGCTGGCTGTGTGGCTCCAGGCGGGCCACCCCGTCCCCTTGGCACCCGGTCATGTCTCAGGCTTATGGAAACACAAGGATCACCCTTGGAGCTTGCTTACATTGTGGATTCCTGACCATCCCCACCAAAGACTCTGTCCCAGTAGGTCTGGGGAAGAGCCCAGGAGATTATGATGCAGGTGGTTATTTGGGCCACCCTTTGAGAAGCGCTGCTGGAAAGTCTCCGAAGGCCCCACATTCAGATTCCTCAGCTATTTCGCCATCTCGTTCCGGGGGCTTTCTCTCAAATCTAACTTAATCCGGTTAAATTCCACAGTTATGGAAGAACAGCACTACAGTGCAAAAGCATACACACTGCTCTTGCTGCACCTCGATCTCTTGGTCCGGTTACCTCCACAGCCCCACAGTGCACCCGGGCAGACGCACGCTCCGACGCCTGTATTCCCGCTTCTGAGCCAGACTGGCTTATATTCCCTACCATGAACCAAACCTGGCATACCTACAAGTAAGGTAAGATGTTAGATTTGGGGGTCTCTGAGCCAGCTATTTTAGAAAATCACTCCTAAAACAAAGAGGGATTTCTACGTAGGATGTATACATCCCTGCTCTTTTCTTTGCCTTACAGCAACATTTCTCAGAGCGAGGTCTCCAGACCACCTGCACCAGAATCATTCCAGAAGCTTGTTAGTAGCATAGATCCTCAGTCTTAGCCCAGATTTACTAAAGCAAAATCTCTGAGAATTGGTCCCCAGATAAGCAGTCTCAGCAAGCCCCTTCGCCCAGACTGCAATGTGACTTTCTGTGCACATGCATGCATGTATGTATCTATGGGCACACATGCATGCAGACATGCAAACTTGGGAAGCCCTTATTTAGAATATCCTAATAAGCTTCTCATCTTCAAGCCCTGCGTCCATAATTTTTAAAATGCTGAGGTCCACAGTTTTCTTCCCATGCTCCCAGTTTGTGACATGTATTTACAGCTTGGCTCGGGGAAGCTTAAAAGAGGAGTAAGGGAGGGGGCAGGGAGAGTGAAACAGGGGGAACTGGCTGAAGGGCGGGCCTGAGGTGAACAAGTCCCCTCTGAGACCCTGGGAATCAGAGATGGGCCCATCAGGTAATCTGCAGAGGGCAGCCTCAGGGGCTCCCACAGCCCACCTGTCCACACCCACCTTGGAGCTTGTTTGCACAAAGGGCTACTTCTCGTCTCTATGCCTCCGAGAGATGGGCAAAGGAGTGCCAGGGACCAGAGCCACATGGGGTTTGTGAGGCCATGAGATGAACAATACTGTCCAAAGGAAGGTAAGAGGAATTTCTGGGATGGCCGTGAGAAGGAAGAGTGGGGAACCAGGATAGGGAAGGTTTTTTTATTTGAAGACTTTGAGACCATTCTAAGTCATTTAAGGAAGAAAAAACATGTTTTGGGAGCAAGTAGGGACAAAGAACCATATCGTTTAGACAAGATGAAGTGAGTCTCATCAAAGAGAACTGTTATTTTTTAACTGTACTGGGAAGGCCAAATGACTATGGTACCAACGAGGTAAGTTGAGAAAGGCTGCTTTTCAGTCTCTTGGGCCACTGCTCTCCATATGGGCCTGACATAGTCAAACTATCTCCTGGGCCATTCCAGGCAAGGGTAAGGTTTCTAATGGGAAGAGACTGGACCTGGACAATGTCACAAGCCTGAATCCTGTCCATGCTGAGGGTCCAGGGCTAGCCTGGGACAAACTCTATCAACCAGCAATTATTGATTATATTTTATGCCCATGATTCACCCTCTTAATGATCTGTAATTAAGCAGTCAGTGTGAGCAGCATTCCCAGAGCCAGTGATTGTCCTAACATTTCAGAGACCAGGAAAGCACACAGAATACCAAGATAAATGCATCTTGAAAGGTGGAAACAGAAAGTTAAGGCCATATGCAAGTGAAGAAGAGATACTCGGAGCACACAAAGACTTCATGAAAGCTGAAAAAATACTAATAACTGAGCAAATGACTGGTTCTGGGTTCTGGCTGTAAAGCAAGTGGGAAACACTGAAAGGCCAGAAGCAAGAGCGATTTCTTCCTGGCATTCCCAGGGACTGAGTGGAAGTTGATGATACAAGCTGAAATTCAGGAAAAATTCTGCCACACTTCCAAAGTAAGACATTTATTAAGAAAAAGAAGGATCACCTACGTAACAGTCACCTACTTGACCACCAGTGATGATGGCAGCTAACATTTCTTGAGGTTTGCCAGACACTGCTGGATATCTGGTAAATCCTACCACTTTATTCTCATCGCAACCTTTTGGGGTAGGTACTATAAATATTCCCATATTAGAGATGAGAAAACAGAGGCTTAGTGAGATTAAGTAAATTGTCTAAGGTTGCACAGGTATTAAGCAATAGAGCCAGGATATATATCTTTAGCAATGTGATTCTAGAAACTCTGCTCTTAGCTTACAGCTATGCTTAACTTACAGTTTAATGGCTAAGAGCTAGAAATTACCAGCTGAAGTATCTGAATCGTATGTAAATCCTCTGTGCCGGTCTTAGGGGTTCACTGTACTTTGTCCCAACACCATAATTATTTCTCCCACAATACCTCTACTCACTCTTCCCCACTCCTACCTTGCTTTTCCCACCAACCCTGCAAATTATTCCTCTCCATATACCCCAATGTTGCTCTCCGTTAAAGGTCAATTCAAATCCCTATATTTGGTCCTACCTAAAGGCTTTCCAGGCTTCTATAGTCCACAATGATCTCCCCTATCCCTGAACTCCTTTATGACTTCACGGTCTTCCCTGGAATTCTCCTGACTCTTTTAATGTTGTATATTTCATTTATCCAGCAAAATGTCAAGTGTTTTGACGAGCCACATCCTCCCCCATGAGCCAAGCACTCAATACTACAGCAACAGCAGACTGACCATGAACTGGCACTGGCTCATGCAAGGATACATTCAATAACGGCGGAGTGAACAGACATGAGGATGTTTCCTCTTGTGAGTCACAGGATTTAAGAAACATGGAACCAGGCTCCTTTGAAGAGGAAGGAAAATGGTGAGGTCTTTGTTTTTTCTTTTTGTTTTGTTTTTGAGAAAGAGTGAGTGTGTGAGCTGGGGCAGAAGGGGCGGAGGGTAGGAAGAGCAGAGGAAGAGGGAGAGAGAGAGAATCTCAAGCAGAATCCACGCTCAGCTCAGAACCCAATACAGGGCTCGATCTGACAACTCTGAGATCATGATGTGGGCTGAGTCAGACACTTAACTGAATGGACCACCCAGGCACCCCAGGGGGAAATTAAAAAAAAATTATTATGGGGAGGGACGTGTCAGTTCAGGAAGACCCTGGCTGACCTGGGTCAGCCTCTGAATGTCACTCAAAAAATCCATTTATATATGAAGGCTGCAAATAAAATCCCCTTGAGTGTAATTTACCTCCACTACTATCCCATTTTCCAGGTCCTCTGCCTCTCAGGACTCTTCCCAGCTCTGATCTCTTCCTTGAAGAGTCCGTGCACCTGGCCCCACTGCTTCCTTGGCTGGATATCACAGGAGTCACTGAAACTGACATTCAAACTCCACATCGGCCACTTACTGGCTGTGTGACCTGGGCAAACTGCTTAGCTAGTGTAAGCCTCAGTTCCCCACCCGAACCACGGTGGGTGGGAAGGTAAGTATATCTATCCCACTCCGTCGTCGTGACAATCAAATGAGATGTCAGGAAATAAGCTAACATAAAGCCATACACAGAGCAGGCATTTAATGGTATCTATCATTGTTACTGTGAAATCCTTGGGGCAGGTCTTCTTCCTCTAGTCTTTGCCAGGACATCCTCTACTGGCCAGGGATCTCTGCCTTAAAACCTCCGGGATCTCCTCAGCTCCCATGGAATGTCTAAGCCCTCTGAGACTGAGTTTAAAACCACCTTCCCACTTGTGCCTTCGGCAAGTCACCCCAGCCATCCTACATCCAAAACCCTGTGGTCCCAGCTTCAGACAAACTACCGGAGCAGAGCGGGGGACAAAAGTGAGGGGCTTGGGAAGTCAATGGTAACCAATATTCAGCCCAAAAGCAGCAGGAATGGTGGGGGAATAAGGCGTGTTCTAGAGCTCACAGCTGCAGCAATTTCGCTATGGGGGAATGAGAATAAGCAAGAAATCCTGATTTTACGGAAAGCCTCTTCATTTTTGAATGTCAGTTAAGGATTTTAAAATGTTGTGAGGCAAAACGAAAAGTTTCTGCAGGCCAGATTTGTCCTTGGGCTGGCAGTGGGTGACCTATGTTTGAAACACCAAACTCGGGATCCCTGGGTGGTGCAGCGGTTTGGCGCCTGCCTTTGGCCCAGGGCGCGATCCTGGAGACCCGGGATTGAATCCCACATCGGGCTCCCGGTGCATGGAGCCTGCTTCTCCCTCTGCCTGTGTCTCTGCCTCTCTCTCTCTCTCTGTGACTATCATAAATAAATAAAAATTAAAAAAAAAAGAAACACCAAACTCCCTGATGTTCTGTATTTGCTGTGCCTTCATGCCTTTGTTCCTGCGACTCCCTCTACATAGAAGGACTGCCCCCCAAACACTGAAACGGTATTTGCTCTGTGAAGTCTTTTCTGACCCCATCAGGCAAAATCAATGGATTGTTTCCTCTGTACTTGCAAGATGTCTGGCACATTTCCATCAAGAAAGTAGCCCTGATTATATGAACTAGATGGTATATTAATTTTTAGCCATCCCCATGTAAGAGAAGGGACTTGTGTGTTATTGACCTTTGTGATATGGAGTGCAGTGCTTCGTTTATAAGAAGTGTGCACTCAACAAAATGTTTGTTTAGTGAATGGATGAGAGTAAGAGAATTAAACAATTGTTTGCAAACTCCTCTAGGCTGATATTTGCGCAATTCCTGTTTCTCTGCAGGCGCCACCAACTTTGACCACTTACATTTCTCTCCCATTTCCAGACATCTTGAATCCCCCAAAGGGGCTCTGGGCATTTAAGGCATTGTAACAATTGATCCTAAGAGAAGGAAACATAGTACCGTTAGTATGAATCTGCTTGCTTAGAAGTAGTTATTTATATAATTACTATGTATAGTTAAATATATATGCCACAGCATAATATTTCTTTTAAAAGTTTTATTTTTTAATTTCCTTTTTTTGCATATGAAATATTTATAATTTAAAATTTGCTGCGATTTCCTGACCTAGCTGGTAAGGAGTGTATATCCCTTCTCAGGGTGAAGGCTGGTTGCCTTCCTTCTTTCCCTCCCCCTGGGAGGATATGCTTATTTCACCCACATTCCAGAGATTATGAGGCCCCTACGCCCCTATGCTACCAATGGCTTGCATTATGGCCAGAGCCATGAGGCTGACTCTGCTCTTACCAAACAGTCCCAGCTTGCATTGCAGAAGACACTGTGAGGGCCTTGTTGATGTCGTTAGTGAAGACGGCTGCTACAAGTCCAAAGTCTGAGTTATTGGCTCTTTCGATAACTTCATCCATAGTCTTAAACCTCAGAATTTCCTGAACAGGGCCAAAGATCTGCAACAAAATCATGTGACCCAACATGGGGTTGCTCTGCCATCCTTTACTTACTTGCTTTCTGCATTTCAAAGCAAGTTTGCTCTGCCTTCATTATTTAAATGACATTTAAGTTGTAGCAACACAGAACTGTAAAATATCTCAAACTGGCCAGACGGGATTACACAGGAGTCTAACCTTAGGGTTCATTTAACGCCCTTCTCCACTACCCTCCCTGACAACGCTGCCTTCTCTGTGATTCCCCAGACACTGCTCCAGAACTCAGGACCACTGCTCTAGACTGCTGGCTGGTGTGTTCCTGGTCCCTCTCTCGCACAAACGTGAGGCTGCTTGGATGCTTTCTTCTTCTGATGAACAACTTAGTAACCCACGGTTGAAGGAACTGAACTGTCGCCAGCACATCGCTAGGGCGAATGATGGGCTATTATGATTGTCCTCTCAGCTAATAATAATTGCAATCGTATAGCATGTCACCCAGCCTCCATCTAGCTTGTTTGCCTTCTGATTTAACATTTTCTTGAAAACAGGATTTTCACAGCCATGTTTAGTGCTGTTACAGAATGTATATAAAATATAAAGAGCCCAAACCATAATATCATCTGCAGGAAACGCTCTGGAAGCTGTCCCAAGAAAGGTGTGGCTTTTGTTAGATCCCCATTTTTGATACCTCCTCCTTGGCAATGCGCATATCATCGGTGACGTTGGAAAACACTGTGGGCTCGATGAAAAACCCCTTTCGGCCCAGGCCTTTGCCGCCACATTCCAGCTTGGCACCCTCAGCCACACCACTCTGGATGAGTTCCAGGATCTTGTTGTACTGTTTCTTATCAATCTACAAAAGAAATTTTCTAATGACTCTGTGTAAAGTCTTCTATGAAAACAGAAATGTGTACTCAAGGATCTCTCACTTGTGATTTTTTTCAAAGCTCCTTTATATCTAATTTGGTTATGTGGAACTGCTGCCATTTAGCCATTTTTTTTCAGGGGAAAAAATGGTGACTTTGTATAGGTCAACCTAATGTATTGAGAATTCCAATAAATGTACTGCCCTGATGATCCTGCCAAATCAGAAGTACCAGATGAGGATTTAGATGATGTTTCTAAATGATGGAGAAACTGGCTAATTGATTATTTGCAGCTTCTAAATGGGGAAAGACTGACTACTATAACCAAATGAACAGTTCAACATGTACTGATACTAAAAAAATGAAAACAATAGGTAAACTATATGGTGCTCCAAATCCTATTGGGGTCTATTTTTAATGGAGCTCCTATTACACATTTAGAGGAAAAGGTTAAGTAGAAAAAGCAAGGACTAACTTCCTATTCCATAAAATAAGGTTAGTCTTGCCCTCCACCAAGTCATAGTCATCACTCCATTATTATGGTAAATACAAAAACCTAAATTCATTTGAGTTTGAATTGCTCCACTAGAACATCAATCCTCTTTCAAATGGTCCCCAAACCTAGATGTTGTTTCTTATCAGGAAGACCCATATACTAGAGATCCAGATGCAATCTGATCCAAATATCCTTTAACTGTAGATAGATCTACAGTTTAAAATTAAACCAGAACTCTACCTGGAAATATGCTTTGATGACTGTGGAGAACCTGCAGAGCCAAACAGTATGGACTGCGGGGACTTATGGGGCTCTCCCCACCCCATCGCAAGAAGCATTCAGGGTAAGAGATAACCACACAGCAGAGGGGTAAGTAGACAGCCCTCTAGTTCCTACACATTCACAAGCCACAAGTGACCTCCCCAAAGTAGGTCAGGTTGGCAGAGAGATTCCTGAGCTACTGATGAAAGAGTAAAGGGCTCTGAGAAAGGCAGATAGTCGCTCTCCATGACTGTGGCATCTGTAGGGATGTCTTGAAGGCCAGTGGTTAGGCCCGGGACTGGGGTCTCAGGCTAACATCCATTTTGTCATGCTCAGGACTTTCTTTAGAGCTAAGAGACTCCAGTTTACCCCCAAAGTTCAAAGTATCCTTGAGGCAATCTTAGTCCCTTGACGTTTCAGAGAGAAAGTTTAGAAAGGGCAAGGGAAGCATTAGGATAAGCAATGCCTCCCCAGTGACGTTTCTAGTCATGAAGACGGGGTGGAAGAGTAAGCAGGGAGTGGAGAAAGAAGTTGTTTCTGGGGTCCCACTAGAGTGCCCGGTGCTCGCCAGGGATTAAGAAAAGAAGGGAATGTTTATGATTTCTCTACCTGGGGTCCCTGCTCAGTGGTGGGATCAAAGGGACTCCCCACTATGCGCCTCTTGGCCCGCTCCACACTTCTTCTGACAAACTCCTCATAGATGGACTCCTCCACAAAGATGCGAGACCCCGCAGTGCAGCACTGGCCTTGGTTGAAGAACACCCCCTGGTGAGCCTGCTCCACAGCGTAGTCCACTGCAAGAGGAAACAGCCGCGTCCTCAGCTCTAGTTCACCTGCAGAGGGGTCCGTCTCTGGAGTTGCGTCCCTTCCCTCTCCCAGAGCCCCGGGTATAATGCCACGCTCACCACAGAGCGTAACGGTAAGTTGGCAGCACAGGGGAAAGGCCTGGATTGAGAACACAGTGTAGTTGGAAGTTCTAACTAGATCCTGACATTACTTGCTATGTGAACTTGGAACTTGGACAGCTTCACTTCTCTGAGTCTCTTTCTTCTGTAAAAAGGGGGGCTGGACCACAGCATCTAGAACAGGAGTCCCAAGTCCCCATATGCCAAGAGGCTAAGCAGATAATGTAATGGTATGAATCTGCCAGCTAGTAAAAGAATCTGATGGAGACTCAGAAAGAAAGCCACTGCATCTGGCTGTTGCATGGCTGTACACCACTGGGTGCCAGATATCCAATTTTAAGAAAAAACAGAAATCAAGATTTTTAATGTGTAGTTTTTATTTTTTAAAATGCTGTGTGACATTTAAACAGGTAAATGTACGTATGCCCTGCTTTTGGTCTGGGGACTGCCAGCTTGCAATCCTTAATCTATAGAGCCTTGCAGTTGTATGTTTAACTAGTATTGTGCTGAATTAAACTGTAACAGTAATGGATCTTCTTGAAACACACCAAATTTCCTCTACATTTACATGGAATTGTATAGCAGCACATAATTCCTTCATCTCAGAGCTTATACTTCAAGCTCTAATCTGGTGTGTGCTGGTTGCTAAATGACTGACTGAATCCATCAGTCACTCATCAATCAATCAATCAATCAATCAATCGTGTCAATAGAGGGCCTACTGCCCAAGAGAAATTTAGGTGTGACAGTTCCGATCCTTCTGACAACTAGCATGAAGCTGATGTTGAACTTTTCACGGACTCTGAGCTGGGGCTGAAAGTCAAGCAATCTGCTTTCTGCTTTCTGACCTCTCCAGAGGTGAAAGAGAAAGCAGTCCTGCCTGGTGGGAGGAGAAGGGAGAAAAAGAGATGTTGAGAGAGATTTTGAATTTTTATTCCTTGGAAAGCTTTTCTAAACAGAAAGACCACACCTATGCAGAGTGGCCTAGAGGGCCTCCTGCCTGGAGACATGGGCTTTCCTAAGTGACTGCTCCATGCTGCCATAAAGTCCTACCTTCAAGGCTTGACCACCTCCAGTTTAGGCCCATTCATACAGAACTGACCAAAGTGCTAGTCATTCTGGCTGGAAGTCATGGAAGCAGCAGAGGATGGAAGGACTAAACAGAGGAGGGGTTGTGGCTCTGGGGAAATGTTGGCAGGGCTAGTGAACTAGAACTTTACTTAATGATCTACAAAGCCACCAGACACAGTTAAGAAGTTTCAGATTTCTTGAATCTAGGCAGAGAGGGTATATTTCAGGTGTTCAGAGGCTTAGACCATTGCTCTTTCCACTACACAGCACTATGTAAGCCTTCACCTCTTCTACCCTTCTCTACAGTGTCTCAGAGCCAAAGCAGCTCAGTAGAGTCTAGAAAACAAACTCTGGCCAGCTGTCAACTAGCAAATGCTCTTTCCCAATACTAAATTCTTTGCCCTTGAGGAGGAAGGGTCCAGATTCTTCTACTTGAAGCTTCTTCTTAGCTTCATGGATCTTTCTCTTAGTGTCCTTTCAAAACTAGAGATTCAAAAGAGCACCGAAAGAGTGTACTGGGATATGTATGAGATCCATGGTTGACTTACAATCAGCATCAGCAAAAATAATATTGGGACTTTTCCCTCCAAGTTCCAGAGTTACTCGCTTCAAGTTACTTCTTCCAGCTGCTTCTTGGATAAGCTTTCCAACCTGAAACAAAGGAAATAGAGGGGATTTTGTACACCTTGCAGCTGAGACAGTCAGTGGCCAAAGTCAACTATGAGCAGTAGTGGGAGGCAGTAGTGATGGATTCTGCAAGGCAAACCAGCCCTGTGGATGACACAGGAATAGTTCCTGTGGTCAACTTGGCCAAGGTGGGTGGACAAGATACAAGTCAGTTGGGATGCAGTTTAATGTCTGTGGTGAAGTGATTTGGAAGACTGCTTTAGTTTCATGATGGAAAGAGCACTGAAAAGGGTTTAATCTGGAATCTTAATCATCGAATGATTTTTCTAAAGGCAACTGGCAGGCAAAATGTGACTAGAGGTTTTCCACCACTGCACTGTGGCTTGTGGCTTTGGACTCTAATCTCCAAAAAAAAAAAAAAAGCCAACTGGCTCCACATGAAAGACATGATGAATATAAAACAAACTCTTCATTCATTTACAAAAATGCCAGGTATGTCTTTAATCACACGGTTCAAAGAAAATATAGATGTTACTACACCTTTGCCTCTCCCTGGGTCTATAAGTAAAAGGGTTCCAGACAGCTGAGCATCTGTCTATATGAGTGCACTGCCTATTTACTTAGAAGCCAAGCAAATAATAGGCTGGGTTGGAGACAGCATTTACTGTGTAAACTCACATTTCTAATGAAATTGCAAGTGTTGAAATGGAAACCGTAGCGTACCACCTACAGCCTCCCTTCAAGGAAGAACACATTGATTGCCTCGGTGAGTAGAAGTGCTGTCAACTCCTTCAGAGTCTGCCTCAGAGGAAGAGTGTTTCCTTGCCCAAGAGCATACCCTCCCCGGGGTGGCCTATCCACTGGTGGCAGGGTATAAAGGCCCTCACTTTCAGCTCACCACAGGATAGCTCCAGAGGACCATCTATGCTCCTCCATGCTGCATGTTGTTGGCAGAAGCTGCCGGGCCAGCACTGCAGCTCAGTTTCCCCTTGTACCTACTCCCCTTCAGCAGGGATCCCCAGTAAATAGTCTGCATGGCAAACTCCATCTCAGCAACCACTTCCGGAGAACCTGACCTGTAATGGGGTGCTGCTCGACTATGGGGTAGAGGTCACGTTATGGAAAATGCCATACAGCCCACATAGGTGGTTTGCTCTTATTGAGATGAAAAATACTGCTTTTGCCTCAAATCCTACAAATGTAAAATATCTTAAAACCCTAGAGAAGAGAAATGGTATACTTCAGTCCCTCCTGCCCCTGTTGAAATCCTCTAGTAGGACTGTAACTCCTCAGGCAGTATAGTCCTGGTTGAGAGAAAAGGCTCTGGGGCCTGAAAGTTTTATGGATTTTATCACCTACCAGCTGTTTGACCTTGGGAAATTTATTTAACTTCTCTGAGCCTCAGTTCCCTCCTCTGTAAATGGGACTCAAATTTGTATCTAATTCAAGAATCCAGTTGTCCTGAGGATTAAGAGAAGAAATTTGGCCCTTAAGACTGAGCCTGGTACACAGTAAGTAGCCACACATGATAACTACACGTGGGCAGGAGAAGCCAGGGCCCCTCTTCCGCATTCGATGCAGAGAAACGGAGGTCACTGTTAAAAGGAGTTACTGCTGCTAGACTTTCCGAAGCAGGTCTCCCCCACACCCCTCAAACTGCCTCTGCAAATCAACTACTACAAGAAAATCCTGGGGAAAGGATCTGACTTCCCTCAGTCTCCAATATTACTCATTCACTGGATTAAATGCTTTTATGTTTTTTTTTAAATTTTTATTTATTTATGATAGTCACAGAGAGAGAAAGAGAGAGAGGCAGAGACATAGGCAGAGGGAGAAGCAGGCTCCATGCACCGGGAGCCCGATGTGGGATTCGATCCCGGGTCTCCAGGATCGCGCCCTGGGCCAAAGGCAGGCGCCAAACCGCTGCGCCACCCAGGGATCCCCTACTTTTATGTTTTTATTATTACCCTCCCTCATGGCAAAAAAAAAATGTAGAACATATACTTTAATTCTGAGGAAACCTAACCATGGGGGGTGGGGGAATACTGATGTCTTTGAAAAAGCTAGAACTAGAGTTTTCATTGCAGGACAATGCTAGTCTCCAAAGGGTTAAAAAGTACTAACATGTGGCCCTAAAGATTACTGGGGGAGGGGGCATGAGCCCACCAGCCAGATGGCCCTTCTCCCGTCTTGCCAGCTTGTCTGTCTTCTACCTCAAGGTAAGGTCCCTGGGAAGACAGGTGAATAAAGGCCCTGTTCTCAGGCAAACAAGCTCCCTCTCCCTCTCGTTCAGGAAGAAAATACAGGTATACAATGGAAAGGAGAATCTGGTGCTCCATTCTGGCAAGAGAGCAGCAATCAGGTGACAGTTATGACTGATGCCTGAGAGCCCCAGCGAGAGGGGAAACCTGTATGTAGGGCAGCTGGGACAGCAGCCACGGGGAGTCCCTGGCTGGGCTATCCTCTGTGACCACCTGTTTTCCCGAGGAATTCTACGGTTCTTGGCTCTCTCTGCACTGAGGAATCCATATTCACTGCTGGGGACTCATCTCGAAGTCCAGGAAGGTAAACAGGCAAGTGTTCTCTCAAAGAAAGTGATCACTGGAATTCACGAACTGATTATGAATTATAATAAAAAACTAACATTTATTGAGTCTTTCTGTCAGACATTTACATGTATAAGTCTCTCAAAAACCCTTCACAGTACGTACTATCTCATTTTATCGATGACGAAACTTAAGAGTTGGAAGTCAATGGATGTCACCACGTTACCCAGCAGGTGGCTGCAGAGCCTGTCAGACCCCAGGCAGACAATGCCAGGACACACACAGAGCAGGTGACTCCCTCTATGCGCCTCCCTCTCCCTCAACTTTCTGCCCTTTCTGCCTTCCTTTCTGTACTTACCGAGCATCTAAATTGTGCTGCATGCCACCAAAAACCTGTCCGTGAACCCCAAATTGATTTTAAAGTGAGGAGGAATAGCACCTTTTGTAGCTACAAATGATGGTCACAAACCATCAGTTGCAAAGCCTGTATTTTGCCTTCAGACTGACATTAAGAAACAAGCAAAAGCACGGAGAGATCACGGGTTCCACACACACATCTATTCACTGAATAAATGTCTGGGGCTGGTAAAGGGCATGCTGGCCCAGCTGGCATCACACTTCTGTTAGCCCTACTCCCTGACATTAATCAAAAAGTTCTAGGGGTTGGTGTTATTTGTGACTACAAATGTTGTCCAGTGATTATTTTCATGGCTACAGTAACTATACAAAAACCTCGCTCAGTGTATGGTCATCAGAGAATACCTAAGAATAATTTTTCCTGTGTCAGTGCTTTGCCAGCCTTTCCTTAGAAACCAAATTTGTGCTAAACATTGCAAGGCAAATCTCAGATGAATAATGCCTTTCCTCTTCATCTTTGGAAGAAGGTCAAGTTGCAGCTCAGCCTCAAGAAACAACTGGATGTGTTAGGCCATGGGAGAACCATTCCCATCTAGAACAGCCTCAGGACAGGACACTCTGAGAAAACCCAGTTTTCACTGGTCCCCTTCATTCAACACATATTCCTGTTCTACTTTGTGCCAGGTGCAGTGTGGGGCACAGTCCTGTACCAGGAAGGAACTCACAGCTAAGAGGACTGCCGTATAAACCTAGTAGGTGCTCAGTTAAGTGCAGCTTTGAGGTTCACTTGGAGAAATATCTGAGTCAGATTTAATATTAGATCTGAGCAGATGGGATTATGGTTCTGCAGTAGTTTGTTATAAGCCAGTCAGAGCACTCTGGTCCTTATGTACAGAACTGCACTTTGGAGATGTACTATTACTCACGAATTCTCTCTGGGAGAGAGAGGGTAAATGACCCCAAATGGGAGGCACTCCTCATTGACATTACCAAAAAGGGAAAAGAGATGATGGACAGGAGAACAGATACAACTCCAAAGCAATAGATTTCTTTTTTAAGGTTTTATTTATTAGGGAGAGAGAGAGAGATCACAAGCAGGGGGGAAGGACAAAAGGAGAAGAAGTAGACCCCCTGCTAAGCATGTAGCCTGACACAGGGCTCTATCCCAAGACCCCAGGATCATGACCTGGGCTGAAGGCAGATGCTTAACCAACTGAGCCACCCAGGCACCCCAAGCAGGAGATTCTTAGAGGGAAAAGCAATGCATAAAAACAGAGTTCAAGTGAGAACTGACTCCATGTCCACTTACAAAACATGATAGGTCCTGTACAAACTAACCTAAAATACTACTTGTACAAACCTCATGCTAAAGTTTCTGAAGCGAAAATCTACAGAGTTAGACAATTTCAGGAAGAACAAAATACAGACACCACACCAAGGCCTGGGATTAACTGGCCCTTCTGAGATGGGGAAGTAGTGAGCAGCGTCCCTTGGGGGTAAGTGCAGCTCTCGTCAGGAGGTGGAGGAGCATGAAGACCCAAATGGGGCTGCAAGACACACAGGCCTTGTGAGTGATTAAAGGTCAAGTCCATAGGGATAGATTCATAAAACCAATTCCTATTCTGATAAAATAGGCAACCTCTCCTAACCTATTGCTGACGAGCTGGCTAATGATAACAATACTCAGGTTTAGAGACTGCAGTTTGGCCCACAGGAGTCAGGAGTTCCAGATACTACAAACGGTGGCTTGGCTCCTAACCCCTGTTTCAATGTGGGAAACAGGGGTTAGGCTCCTCGAGCCTCAGTTTCTTCATGTGCCAAATGAAGGCACAAGCCAAGCAGTTAATGCCTGGAGTACTCCAGTTGGAAGAGTTTTAAAAGACACATAGGGCTCCTGGAGCCCCTGCTTGTTCTGAGAGTCCACAATTCCTCTGCATTTTTCTTGCTTATGGAGAAGTAGCTTTTTGTTGAAGTACCCAGCTGCCCTGAAGGATAGAAAATTAAAATTTAATTTAATTTGATTTTTTAGTTCCCTGCCCCGCACGGAGCTCATTATGAAAGAGTAAGTGATATGAAAGAGTATGTGATTCCTGCCATGTGGTTTCTTAACTCTGCATTCCC